TCGAGGCAGCCTATGAGTTATTGATAACTATAATAATTTAGAATTGGAGAAATGCACCTATAACCAACTAACCGTAACAAAAAGGTGTACATTTACAAATTATGAATAGAAAGGTTTTTATAGTTAGAGCTTTAGCTCTTTGTAGCCCATTTTTAAAAAGTAATTTCTATTAACAAGAAATATCTTTTGGTTTGGATAATAATTAAGCTTCAGTTATATTCAACAGTCGTTATTTCCTAAGTGTTACTGTAGGTTAGGCGTGGTTTGATTGACTTGCTTATGTAGGCGACCTGATTTAAATGTTTGTAAGGCCTTCCAACGCCTGTGAAGGCGAATGAATGCATATCATAATCACATTTTGAATCATCATACTACCGTTGCTAATGACGTAATTAAAATGACCTCACAGAAATACCTGTTTTTGTGTTGTTGAGGTTGAATTCAATTGTGTTATCAGATTGACAGTATCAAAGTTCACAAAGGTCAATCATATCAACCTACGCCGATAAAGTAAAGAAATGGAAAATAAGGGGTTATCCAAAATTGCACAGCTTGTACGATATTTTTTGGCTGTAATTTATCACCTTTTGATAACTTTACCAAATAATGAGAATAGTAACTACGTATTTTGTGCGCATGGCCTTTAAAATGTAGATTCAACAAAGATTAGTAATAATCAACGATGCCGTTTGTTTAGCATAGAGTTTACATCTATAAAAACTTCTTAGTACAAAATATGAATAAGTAACCGCAAGGTTTTTAGAAATTCAGAGCATCTACATGACGTCTGACCTAAATACTCGTAAATAAAGGTTAAATTCATTTTTTTTAAGTGTACCTGGTCTAAGTATATTGCAATGTTATGATGCGAGTGGTTAGACTATCGATTCCGAGAAAGAACTGTGACGGTACCCGTTGTATCACCCGCTGACGAAGTTATTTTCTGTACAATTAGTCACGCGTGTATCCGGCGCGAGCGCAGAACGTGCAGAACGCGCTGTTTGAACAATATAGCAAATTTAATATATATTAGTGACGAAAATACATACTGTTGATAGTTATGTTTATTTTTTGATAAATTATATAATGTGAGTATTTATAATTTGATATAAACAAAACTTTGGTTCTGAAGAAAAGGTGAATAAACAAACTGATTTAGGTATTTGTTATCTTAATTAAACTTAAATACTTTTTATTTTGTGATTTATGAAATGTATTTTGTGGTAAACATTTGTGTCAAACGAGGAATAATACTCCAGTGAAAGAAGACTCAAAAACAGCTGTTTTGTAACTTACAATTAATTAATGGGTGTCTATGGTATGTCTCTGTCTGTTTACATTTTTGAGTTAAGACGTGAATAGTTTACATTCGAATTTTATACTTTTACATAGCAAAACTACATTAGTAATCGACCATGTATTTCTAACCGATCAGTTACCTAATAAGCACGGGTTTCCAGCTGTTAATAAAGATTTGCATTTAAATGACTCATACAATTTTTTTTTCATACAGCCATTCTTTGTTAGGACTATGAGTTATACTCTTTATAGGTCGCTATTAGTATAAAGATAAAGGTTTACGACATTACTTAAAAGTCGGCTTGGCAACTTGTAACTTATCCAATAATGTCTTGTTTTACGTAAAATATTTCATGACCTAAAATTTTTATAAATAATTGTACAAATTGTAAAAATAATGTCACCATTATCGCGAATCTCTTACAAAATATTGCATTTCGAAACTCAAGGTCATGTCTGATCTTGTTACCCAATTGTTTAAAGTGCGAAACTTCTCCTAGTGGGTAGTTTCCTATCTAGGCTTTTAAAAATTCCCCGCTACCAATCATTACTGCTATTCTGACGGGTGAGGAGGGCTGGGGCGCAGTGGTCTTTTTCTGTGATAGGCTAATAGTCAGGGTAAGCCTCTGGCTTCCCCCTTTTTTTTTCCGTTCCGTGCGGAAATCCCCTCGGATACCCCCTGTCGGTGGCATGTCGGACTCGAACCGACTAAAACCGCACTCCGTCTCGGGTACTAATAGCCGGGGAACCAGGTATACCCTAGAAAGGAAGTCCCTGGTGCCCCGACATACCTCGGGCCATCTACAGGCGAGTAGACGATCCCCCCCCGTGTGGGGACCCCATGTTCCCTCTGCTCCCTGGAAGCGAGTGCGCTTCCCAACGCGCTCGCCGCCACCCCGGCCTGCTTGGGGTGACAGATGGTCTCACCTGTCACCCCCAGGCCTGCTCTTATGGAGGACGGAGGTCGTTCTGCGACCTCCGGCGCCTGAGTCGCCTGCGGTACCTGGCCCGTTCCCGGGCCTGGCGGGCCGGGAAAGTTCTAAACCACTCTCGGTCCCGCTCCGCGGTCTCCTTTCCGAGCGATCCTCCATAACGGGTCTTACCGCCGCGATGACGGCGTGGCCTCTGGCTTCCCCTGGGATAGTGCCTAGTTAGGTGCGGCTTCAATCTGGGGACCTAAAATCACATGGCCTGGGTCGTCCCTAGAGTAGGGCACCTAAGGCTGGCCGTCGGGGTGGTTTTTAGTGGAAACACCACATACTCCTGGCTTCTGTATCACCAAGGAGCCAGAGATCCGAAGGGATTTTCCAACCCGTCAGCAAAAAATAAGGCTTTTAAAAAATATATTCTTAGCCACATAGTAATTGTAACACTAACAATTAAATCTCATGTATTTTGCTATCTATGGATTGCCTATGGTAGTTTACTATTAAATTGCAACCAACTGCAGTTCACGATAAGTTCTACACTACATATATTGCAAGTCCTGTTTCCAATTCGTATGACATAACAGTTGTCTTTCACCGTTCTCTCTTATGAAAGTGGCTGAAATGAATTATGATCATTGCAAGTGACCACTGCGTGTTAACTTTGTTTTTTAGCAACAAGTAAAGCCAGACAAGGAAGCCTGTTCAAATTCGGGTGCAATTTCAACACTCGTTTAGTTAAAAGTAACTCGATTTTTACATTGCCTTCACTGACCATGTGTTCTCTAATCGTATATTTCATAATATGATTTTCTAAGGTTTAAAGTTAGATTAAGCTGCGAAATTACAGCTTCGATTCGTCAGATAGTACATTAATACACTTAATTTAAGATAGATTAAAACAATTCTATTATTAACGTGATCTGCCTAAATGTTCTCCTAAATCTACAGCGAAATTAGTTATTATTTATTATTCAATTTTTTAGTCAAAAAAGTCGTCATTATTCAGATTAAAAGGGCAAGTAATTTTAAAACATTCAGTTTCCTTAAAGCACACTTTCATATAAGGCTATACTTAGTTTATATTTTGGAGCCAGTATGAAAAAATATTTTGACGTCATACTGTATATCATAAATTATGCGTATAGTAATCTTAGAGTTTTAGAGGTTATGAACCATATATATATATATGCATATTTACGCTGCGATCCATAGGACTACAGTAGTAAGCATTATCATTAACCAACTTTGTGCACTGTTAAAATTACGTGAAAGTATAATCTAAATTAAGTGAACGACTAGTTTATCATAGGACAGTAAAGGAAACCTGTCCATTCCGCACTGCTCTATACAATGTTCATTAATTTATTTTATGTTTCACTAGCTGACCCGCGCAACTTCGTCAGCGTCTCTCAAAAGTAATTGATTTTCCCCGTTTTTGCAACCTCAAGTTTTTGCAAGTCAACCTTTAGGTGATGTAGAAATATGATGCGGTAGGTGTAACATAAAGTATTAAATTTAACATAATTGAAGTCCAGAGACATACACAATATACATATAAACCACATACATACATAAATCTACATAACAATCATTTTTTAGTAGTTCCTGAGATTAGCGCGTTCAACCAAATAAACACGTCGCTGTCGTGACAAACTGGAAAAATACTGATAATACTAGTTTTACTCTCAACATTATTGAGAGTAGTAATGCTAAGGTGGTTCAGTATAGTCAGGCGGAATGGACACGATATATCGGTGCGTAGGCGGCGCCCTTTCTCATTCGTTGCGATATCCGCCTACAGTTACAGTTGACCATATGTCCCGCGTTTGAGAACATTTACTCAAATTATTTACTACGATGATATGCTGACATTGTAGACACATTCATGCGATATACTTTATAATGCTGATCAATGGATCACCATGACATCATTACAATTTTACGACGTTATGTCTGTTGGCGTGGTTTCTTTCTTCTTAAAGCACATTCGTACAAACATATATAAATACACTCCAGCCTAAACTCCTGGAGGGTATGCGGAGTAGTATTAAACACTTATTTTCCAGCTATGATCTATATCTATTGAAAAGGAAACTGACAGACTGGTTCAATGACTGATCGATTAACGCACAGCTGAAACCACTAGGTCTAGAAGCATGAAATTTTGCACAAATATTCTTTAAGTGATGTAGGTGTGCACTAAGAAAGGATTTATAAAAATTCCATCCCTTTAGTGACTGCTTGATGTATATCGTCGGTTACAAAGTATATGGGCTAAGTACTCACGGAGTTACTGTTTAAAAAGCAATGGTGCTACTATTCAGTGGACACTTTTGTATAAAGATAATAAAGACTAACACTTTCGACTGAATTTAAATCTGAACAATACAGGCAAATCATGGTACTCCCGTAAATCGCGAATACGTTAACATTATTGTACACAAAATTTGTGTCGTGGATGTTTTCTCTCATCGGAGACAGTCTCGGGCCCCGCTGCACCTCACGTAGTTTAGAAGAGACTGTCATAATTTAATGAGTATAGGTGTAAGGGTTGTGTGTAGGAGTTTTCTAGCCTGGAGCCAATCCTGTAAGCTGATTCAGATCATGCTTATCATAAAGATGTAAAAAACACTCCTTAAATAATGACCCCAAGAATGCATAAATCATTCTACTATTACGTTTACGTAACGTATTTACGTTAAAAGTTCAGATATGTATTTGTTATTTTTTGTTACAGAAGTGATCTGAATACGAATCTTTACAAAACACAAAATGTATACACAACGATCGATTGTTTTACGAATATGTGTGTTGGTGAGCTTGTTGGCCGTGTGTTTTGGCCAACGCGCGGAGCAATTATTGGCCCAGAACCCTTGCTACAGTAAAACGACTTGCAGCGACTGCATACGAACCTCCAGCTGTGCGTGGTGTTTTGCCGCAGAGTTTAACGGTCCCCGATGTTTCAACCCTTCTATGGAAAGGGGCGGTACGGCGGGATGTGATGAAGCCTATATATTCAATCCAGACAACCAACGCTCTATAGACCCTAAATACAATTTAGAATTGAGTAGAGGTAAGCATCTCTATAAACTGTCTCATCCATTATTATCTATAATATTTTAGAATATATTACAGGAATGTGCTGTCATGATTATGGAAATACATTATATAATAGTTTTAACGCGATACACTGAGTTAAGAAAAAGACACGTACTTTTAAATAAAACAAACGGCTTGCAAGTTATTTAAATAAACTCGCCAATATACTTTGAATTAACTATAATAATTCCTAGATATCGAAGCGTAGTCTAATGTGTACCTAATAAACTAGAATAAGAACTCTTTTTGCAATTATTATTGTGTAGTCCTGCTCTTGATGACCATATTTATCTCATTAATATGCTTGTTTACACTTACACTGGCTTAATGGGTCTTATCGCTGAAAGCGCATATTATACTTTATGTATTTAAATTGAAAACAATTATTATAATTAGTTATGAATAATATTCTGCATTCCAACATAAAATACATAATTTACAGACGTTTGTTGTTACTAAACTGATAAGACCTATTTCTAAGTTGCAAGCAATATTATTTATTTGTTTTATTTAATTGTTACAAAATGTTATACCTGTTCAACGAATATACACTTTCTTTATAAAAAATAAAAACTGATAAAGCACTACATAAACTTAAAAAAAAAACAGATATTGATACTTTGTCTTTGAAAATGTGAAGCAGCCCCAAATTCGAACATGTTTTGTAAATTTATGCATTGGAATGTATGCACAGCAGGATAATTAGTGGTCTAAGTAAACTAATTGTTTTATATGTAATGTATTTATTTCCAGCGCAATCTCGAATGGGTATGGCCTCTGGGTCGTCCTTCTATGAAGAATCCACGAGTTCGAAGGGTAGCAGTAGCAGTTTTTCTTCCTCTAGCTCAGCAAGTGCTGCCGGGGCTGCTGGTTCAGCAGAGAGCATGATCCAAATGAGGCCACAGAGGGTCAAACTTAGCCTAAGACAGAGTGAGTTAAGCTGAAAACTACGTGCCAGTGTAATGTTGTTAATCTTTAACGCTGCCTTGATAAAAAAGTTTCCATTCCCTGCAGTTACTCAGGGTCTCTTCTAACTGTCGTAACGTGATGTTGTTCATCCCATGGGTGTCGTAACATCCAACTAAGGGTAAAAACTACGCAGTACATCAGAACTGCAAAGAGAAGGAAAACTTGAAACCAGCCCGTCTGGCCAGCGACCTATGTCTAAGAAGAGTCCTATGTTTAGTAGTGGACTATTGAAGGCTGTTGATGATGATGATGTACATCACGGGGAAGTCACCATGTTATCGACCCGCTACATTTAGCGGAGTTCAAGTAGCAATGTCTCGCTGAGACAAGTGACACTCCATTTCGCCTCACGGGAATAACCTACTGTAGAGTCTGCCAGAGATTCAGTGAAATTAAATTATTACATATATACTAATCCAATTTGGTAGAAGTAACAACCTATTTTAAAGATTTAAAATAAAATAATTAAAACATGCTAGAGAATAACTAAAACAAGAGATACAAAGATACTCATTGTTCATCGCACTGTGTAATACAGGTGTAATGACCATAACTTAGGTTTAACTATGTCACATAATGTTTTTGTCATAACAATGTTCTATATTCTTTAACACACTACTAAAGTTGCAAAATAAGCAGTGCTTGACAGTATAGGGGTAGAATCTTACTGTAATTCGCCACTGCTCGCTTATTAGCTGTTCAGCTTTTAGGACTAGTACAGGCTTAAAATGAAATATTTGATTTAGACCCAAATTAATTCTAACATGAACCTGAACGTTGGCCAACCAGGTTTTCAAATCTCTTGTCTACTATCTGTACAAGCAAATCTGTAACCTACTTTTTAATACAACTTTAATTTCTAAAGAACAGTTATTGAATATGCAGAAACTCTAACCTAACCCTAAAAAGTGTACCTTTTAAGCTTCTCTTAAGTGTACATGTTTTGTGTATTTTTTTTAAGATTCTTTATTTTATTATCACTAATGTTTACAGATCAAATGCAAAAACTCGCCTTTTCATACTCCCGAGCCCAGGACTACCCGGTTGACTTATACTACCTTATGGACTTAAGTAGATCTATGAAGAACGATAAAGAGAAGCTCAGTACCCTGGGCAGTCTGCTCTCAGCCACTATGAGGAACATGACGTCAAACTTTAAAATTGGTTTCGGTTCTTTCGTTGATAAGCTGGTGATGCCTTATGTTTCTACTGTTCCCAAAAAGTAGGTCACAATAATAAGTAATTCAATTTCATTTATTTGTGTGGATATGGTGTAAAATTTCTCAATTTTGCAGCTTGGAGTCACCATGTGACGGTTGTGCTGCGCCTTACGGATACCAGAACCAAATGTCTCTCAGTGTAGATACCGACTATTTTGATGTGAGTAAAATTATATTTTCTTGATAATTAGTCAATCAAAAGATCAATATAGAATCTAAATAACAATAACTTCACACATTTCTCACACGGGTGTCACATACATATCATAGATAAATCACACCCAGACATAGAACAAATGATCGTGCTCATCACATAATTATTTGTCCTGGGGTGGGAATCGAACCCACGACGAATAAGGTTTTCTTGGTTTCAGCAAGCCGTAGCTAACGCCGACGTGTCAGGTAACCTGGACGCCCCGGAAGGCGGATTTGACGCAATTATGCAAGCAGTAGTGTGCAAACAACAAATAGGTTGGCGTGATCAGGCTAGAAGGCTGCTTGTATTTTCTACTGATGCCGGTTTCCACTATGCTGGAGATGGAAAGGTAAATTACAATTAACTGTAACTGTGTATTGTTGTTTTAAACTTTAAGGGTCTTGCAATAAGCAATGGTTTTTGGATTAAGTGACACCAGTTTTGGCTAGATTGTAAATCCATTTTGAATTCTACAATTTCACAAATATCGTAAAAGCAAAAGTTTGTGGTGATGGACCAATGGATGGATGTTTGTTTCTGTTACACGCCAAAGCGGCTCAATATTTTAGGATGTAGTGTATCATTACCGCGCAGCTTATAACGTGGTTTAACACAAACGATACTATTTACCGTGAGATATAGGTACTACGTGAGCGAAGCCGCTAGCATTATTGAAGTGAAAACTTCTTTAGTCGCGTTGAGTGAATTTTGGCAGGGGAAAAAGTTACGGGTTCGCGCCAGACTATAGTTTTCCCTTCTGTCGACAGTATTTATGACTGCCTCTGTTTTTTTTATTTTATAGTTACTTAAATATGTTCATTATTACAAAGCCTTTAAGATCTTTTTGTCACGTTAAAGGTTTTAGAGACCAATATTTGGCACCGTTAATGTCTGCATTACACTATTTTTCGACTAGTTTGTACTAGTCAATACACTATAATTAAAAGCATTGGGACTAATCCCACCCACACGCCCACCACTGTAACTCCTGTACACCAGGATCCACAGCAGTGACCCACGAACACACCGAGTTATGACACTCGGGAAGTCCCAGGAAGAAATTAAACTGTCTTGGAACCCGCAACGAAATTAATCAGAAGAAAATTGGAGGAGTTGGAAATACAGTAAATCCACTTCCCTCCTTAGCAAAGCGGGAGACAAAATGAAGTAAAATGGGCATACACCCTTTTAAACAGGGAAGCACCACGGCCACAAATATTACGGGTCCTACGTGAGCTATGTTTGATTTCTATAATATGTATGGCAGAATCGCCTAAACGCACGGAAATTCACCCTAGTTGACACAAGATCCCCATAGTATACCGCCCCAGATGTCACCTGCAAGCTATTCAGCATTATATTACGTTCATTATACCAAAGACTACATTCCCAGAGGATATGATGAGCAGACTGTTCATGGTGAGAGTTAGGTGTTGAGCATTGACACAATGGTGACTCGACTAATTTAAATGAATAAAGCTTGCTCTTAAAGTTACCATGACCCGTAAGAAATTGAGCGACACAGTGATCCACCTCAAGCCATATCCTCGACAACCGTTCGCGAACAGATGGAAAGAATTGGTAAAGATGGCGCCCCTTGGATGATTCATCCCAGCGTTGTTGCCATTCGTCTATGAGGTCATTATAGACATCGGGCTGTTGTTGAAGCAATCTTGTAATTATACCGCGATCCCGCGCGCCCAAAAAATCGCATTCCATGTTTTGTTGTCTTGAATAGTACATGGCTGCACGTCTCTGCACCTCGAGATCGACCGGAAGCACACCCGCCAACACCGGCAAAGCCTCAGTGCTAACCGTCCTATATGCCTTACACAAGAATATCAGTGCAAGTCGTTGGCCTTGTAACAGTTTGCGACGGACAGCGCCTACGGTCGCCCTATCGGCCCATACAGGTGCACCATAGCACATAGAACCTAAATAAGTAGCTCCGTATATGATCTTTAATGTATTAAATGATAGACCCCATGTCGCAGTTGATATCCTTGTCAATGCACAGAAACTCTTTTTAGACTTTTCATTAACTATTTTAATATGTTCGATAAATGAAAAGTTTCTTTCTAAAACTAATCCTAGATAACACACTGTAGTTTTATTTTTTACAGTAACATTGTCAAATCTAATGCTCGGCGGTGATTTGAGGTTACCTTTTAAAAGTAGCTGGAAGGTTTTGTTGGGTGCAAAAGTTAAGCGATTACGTTCACCCCATTGAGATATCAAGTTCAAACATCTATTGGCTAATCTCTCAAGCCCCGCCCTAGTATCAGATTCCACCAGTAATAAGCCGTCATCAGCATACGCGTTCAGAGTACATCCGGATGGTATTGGTATCGCAAGAAAATCGTCGAAGCCGATATTCCACAAGTATGGACCTAGCACCGATCCCTGAGGACATCCCATTGTAAGCGCCTTCGACACAGAATGATGACCAAGTCTTAGTTTAGTTGTACCTTGTGAAAAGTACGAAGAGATAAGGGAATAAATATTTTTAAAGCACCCCCGTGATTTTAATTTCAGCAACAGCATGGGCCACCATGCGTTGTCGAAGGCGCCAGATATATCTAAGAAAATAGCCAGCACGTATTGAAATATTGACTCTGTGACAAACTTTCTAACCGATATAACAGCGTCAGTTGTCGATTTACCCAACGTAAATCCAAATTGTCTATCATGAAATTTGACTCCACCTGGCAGAAGCCGGGGCACTACAAGACGTTCTAAAAGCTTTCCTAACGATGGTAATAATGTGATTGGTCGATAGGATTTAGGATCATCCGGTGGCTTGTCCCAACTTTTTGGTATTATACGAATATTACCGCACCGCCATATACGATTAAAAGCAGTCGGAACAGTTCTTTACGTTGCAAAAAGTTATTATTTATTCTTGTTCGGCATATTCTGGTTGCAGCTTGGTGGTATCGTACAGCCCAATGATGGAGAATGTCATATGAAAAACAATACCTACACGCATTCAACACTGCAGGACTACCCTAGCATCTCACAGATTAATCATAAGGTAAAGTGTACAAATATTATTTATTCATTTTATGTTGCAAGTTAAATGTGTAAATAATAATCTCGATATTTGGTATCATCAAGGTCTGCTTGCATCACACAATTTATTGTATTTCGCAATTCTATATCGATAAAGTTTCCTTACATTACAGTAATTATCCCAGTATATCATATTCTAAGATTTCTTTATGGATAATATTTATTTACCAGTGTCTATAATTCCGTAGGTCAAAAAACATGCGATCAATGTGATATTCGCCGTGACAGCAGAACAGATCAGTGTGTATGAACAGTTGAGCAAGCATATCGAAGGTTCCAGTACTGGCGTGCTCAGCAACGATTCGGACAATATCGTCGACCTCGTGCGCGAACAGTACAACGTTAGTAACAATTTTGTTTAATTTATTTATTTACTTGTGTGGCTAAGCAGTAACCGAGTGGCTTAGCACATTGCAAAGTTAAGCAATGCTAGCCAGCTCAGTCTATGGATAGGTGACCGTTCTTAACACATTGAGGTCCCTCCGTTCGTCGGCGAGCACGTTAAGCGGTCGGTCCCGGTTGCCATACGGACACCTGCGGCAATCGTTACGAGTTATTGGAACCCTAAAGAGTGTGATAACAGTCTTTCTACAGAACTTTGATTTCGCTTAGTACTTGGGTTGTGGAGATCTGATGGCAGTCCAAGTATAAATGGAAGTTTAGCCGTATCGTGGTAGCTTTAAGGCTGACCCCGACCTAGTTTCGTAACAAGGTTCGGAGGAAGAACTTTCGGAAGAAGAAGCTATTTAAAAAGAAAGTGCGTTGAAGAGGTCGTAGGTAGAATTAGTCCATGTAATTTTTATTTTATGATGTTCCTCTCGTCTCGTTGCCGCGGTAGTTGATGATTTTGTATAGGAGTTATTCCAGAGAACACTATAATATTGCACAAGAAAGAAATAGTGCTTCTATCTTATATTATTAGGAAAGTATGAATACCTAATAGGTTGTCACTGAAATAAACAATGTTTATAACATTAATCGAACTTCTACTTTACTATACAGTTTACATGTAATGATATATGATCAGTGTCAGGGGCAAGAGAACATCGGGGTTCCGTAACAGGAGGGGGTCATCTATAAGCCGTAAATAGCCCGAGGTACGTCGGGGTACCAGAGCTTTCTGAGCGTCTCGTCGCCACCCCGGCCTGCTTCTGCTAGGGTTACAGATGGCCTCACATGTCACCCCAGGCCTGCGCTTATGGAGGACGGAGGTTTTTATGCGACCTCCGTCGCCTGAGTCGTCTGCGGTACCTGGCCCGTGCCCCTTGCCTGTCGGGCCGGAGGAGTTCTAAACCTCTCCCGGTCCCGCTCCGTCATCTCCTTCGCAAGCATAACTTGCTTGCAGAAGGAGACGGCGGAGTTCCACGCACTCTCGCTTCGCACCATGACCGCAATCATGTTATCGAGCGAAAGAACCCTCGCCCCGATGGCCGCCACGAGGCCACGCCTCTGCTCCACCCACGCCGGGCAATTTGCGAGCGTGTGGAGCGCCGTGTCCACGGTCCGGCCATCGCGGTGGTGGCACTCAGGCGTTGGCTCCTTGCGAATCAGACACAGGTGATCCCCGAAGCACCCTTTCCCAGCGATCACTCGCGTCAGCAGGTATGAGAGGGTCCCGTGATGCCTCTCGAGCCAATCCTCCATAATGGGTCTTACCGCCGCAATAATAGCGTACCCGTACTGGTACCTGGAGACGGCGTGCGGTTTTTGGTTGGTTCGAGTTCGACATAACCACCCCACTTGTGGGTGGTATCCGAGGGGAGTTCTGCACACGAAAAATAAGGGGCAATACTCGAAGTCTTAACTCGGTATAAGAATATTTTTACACGCGACAGTATAGATCAAATTCATTGAAAAATACAAGCACATTGTTTTTTGATAAAAAACTTTTGTGTGGCTCATAGAGCTAATAGATTAATATTGACGATAAGTGGCAGCAACTGCCACGATAAGTGGCGCTAAAAAGAAGAAGTGTATTTTGTGTACACATCCGGCAGTCAAAAAACTTTTTGGTATTTCGCTTCAGGACCGGAAGTTCTACAATGCAAATCAACTCTTATCACAATAAATAGAGACATTTGAAAACTATTCCAAAATGATTAATTTTGTTTCAAATAATGGTTAAATCATAATGGTGCTGCAAAATATGAATGTCACATTTTATTTTCAGAAAATTACATCAACTGTGGAGATGAAGGATACAACCAGTGATGCTGTGCAAATAGTGTATTACTCATCTTGTCTCAATGGCAAAGAGCTCGCACAGACTAATAAATGCGACGGACTCAAGGTTATTATCATTTATTCATTCTTATGATTTGGTTACCTGAGTTATCAGATTTTTTTAATTTTAAAAATCTGTTCTAGGTTGGAGATGTGGTAGAATTTACAGCTGAAATCACATTAACGGAGTGTCCGAAGGACCGCAGCAAGTGGAGGCAGACTTTTGACATCTCTCCCGTCGGTATCTCAGACAGTTTGACTGTTGAATTGGAGATGCTGTGCGACTGTCCATGTGAACAGCCCGGACACCACGTAATAAAAAACTTATTTTTCTCTATTCTATACTGTATAGATATTTTTATAGCTGCAAACTAAATGGGCGTAATTTTACTCTGATATTCAGTTTATTTAGAAACTAAAAACTGGTACAAAGAAAGTGTGAGATTAACTATAAAAATATATTGGGCCTATTACGGATATAAAGGTATTAATTAATTTAATTGACTAAATGTAATAATAAAATAATATTTTGTATCAAATATTACGAAACTAACTCTTTTGTATATTGTTTCCTTCACTAACATTAATTAAATATGATTTACTAGTCAATTGGTTTTCCAATCTATTATTTAAGAATCTGTTGATGCTTGATTAGCAGTTAAATAAGTGTATTACTAATAACAAACATAAGATACGAAAAACCGACATGGTCACGGACTGACTTAAAAAATAACAATAAAAACCGTTTTTAATTAGTGTTTGATATGTATTTTTTTAAATATAATATATACAACACCTTCAGCTAGTATTGTGCTTCACTTGTGTATTAATGATGTTAATAAAAACCATCTAGGCTTTCAACGATAGTCCGCTGGTATGTAGTGGTGAAGGAGTATCAGCTTGCGGTGTTTGCGTGTGCCACCCGGGACGCTTCGGCAAGAACTGCGAGTGTTCCGCGCACGGCGGCGTGTCTGCCGAGCAGGAGCGCGGCTGCCGCCCCACCAACGCCTCCACCGGCCCGCTCTGCTCCAACAGGGGCACTTGCATCTGCGGGGTTTGCGAGTGTAACAAGATGGAAGATCCGCTAAAGGTATCTACGATACATTTACAACTGTACCGATAATACTATCTGCTCTGAGAGCACGGATGGCGTAGTGGTATAAGTGGTCGCCGCGCCGATTATTACTATGCTGATTGTTATGAGTTCGATCCCCACTTTGTGTGATCCATAAATTGTAGTTCTGAGTCTGGCTGTTCTTTGTGTCCGTTTCATGTATGTTTGTAAAGTCCAGCGTGACACAGAACATATTCCTAGTGTGGGCGTTGTCTTTAAAAAAAGTAAGAAAAAGAATCAATACTATATTTTTACCGTTTAAGAGCAACGCGTCGGTCCGTCCGGGTCTACCGACCGGACCGGTGGTACCACGGTCTTACAGAAAACTGGTGTTAAACGAGTTTCTCGTTGCTTTACAGCGAATGAGTGAAAGTTACCGGAGCTTAAACCTCCTCTCCCCTTGACTCTGTGGGGAGGGATTAAAAGGGCGCAATGCACTTGTGACCCTTGCGTTACAGGTTTTCACGGGCGGCGGTAGTTTCTTACCATTAGGTGATCCGTCTGTTTGTTTGCTCTCTTGTGCCATAAAGAATGACTTCTTATATATAGCTAGCTGACCCACGCAACTACGTCCGCGTCTCCCAAAAAAAACAACTTTCCCCGTTTCGGCAACATTGTTATTGGTTCTCTGCTCCTATGGGTTGTGGACTAAAAAGAAATTTTGTAGTGGACCGAATTGTGAATCTAAACCATCTTCGAATCTACTTGAACACACAAAAACTTCATCAAAGTCGGTCCAGCCGTTTAGGAGGTGTTCAGTCACATACACACGCACAGATAAGAGATATATATATATATATATATAAAGATGTGCGCTAGTGTAGTAGTCTAGTAGGCGACCATCTAAAAGTCATTTTTCTATCATTCGGGAACATTACCTTCTCTAGGGAAGGATACCCTGCCAGGGAGGGACATGTGATAGTTACTCAATGTTTATCCAGGTAATTTCTGGTCCTTTCTGCGAGTGCGACAACTTCACGTGCGACATGAACAAAGGGCTGATGTGCTCGGGACCGGACCACGGCGAGTGTGTTTGCGGCAAGTGTAGTTGCAGGCCTGAATACATGGGCCCCGCTTGCCAGTGCCTTAAAGATCAAACCCCCTGTATTTCGCCTGGTATGTGTAGATAGTTATTGTTTTCTCTTATGTAGCAAAAATATAACGTCAAAATGTTAAGTATGTTAATTGGCTTATACGCAAAACGTTAATACTTGTATCTAACAACAGATCATTTCGTAAAAATATAAATGAGTTTGGAAGTATAAAACAACATTGAATACATTTCTTGACAAGTCCATTACACAGTTAATTAATTACATCGTATTGCGTTTAATTTTTATTTTTTACAATTGAATATTTAGAGATTAATATAAGTATCCCTGTAAATCCGTGTCCGTGTGTGACGTGACGGTGACGGATTAAGAATACAAATTGTCACCACCCCAATTCATCCCGTGGGCGTCGTAAGAGCCGACTAAGGGAGCAAACTAAGCAGGACAACAGCACTGCAAAGAGAAGAAAAACTTGAAACAAACCCTATACCAACCCGTCTGGTCAGCGTGGTATAGTAGGCCAAAACCTCCTTTCTAAGGAGAGGCCTATGTCCAGCAGTGGACTAGTATAGGCTGTTGATGATGATGATCCCTGTAAATTTGTTTATTAACTTGTAGTACACTATTTTGATTAGAGACATAGCTAAACCCGGTAACGTCAGCTTTATTTTATCATTTATTTTCTATGTTTCTAAATAGCTTCGTTTTAATATTGTTACAGAAAACAAGGAAATTTGCAGTGGAAATGGTAAATGTGTTTGCGGACAATGTGTGTGCAATGTAGATGATAATAGGCATTACTCCGGGATGTACTGCGAGAAATGCCCCGTAAGTACAATTTTAATCTGAGAACTGTTAATTTCTCGTGATAAAGTCAAATGTAATGAATTATTGTGCCATTAATTATAAAAAAATGATATTGTACATTCTAATAATTATTTTAAAAAGTTAAATGAGCGTTCTTAAAGTAACGTAATGTTTATAGACTTGCCCAGGACGTTGCGGCGAGTTTAAGGATTGTGTAGAGTGCGAAGTGCACAAACAAGGCAGTCGTTACAACGAAGAGACGCAGGGCTGTGGGAACTGTGCACTGTTCCCTATCATAGAAGAAGGCAAAATTGAAGGTGAGCTTTACCTACTATAATTATTGACTGGCCTGTTGCTCTAGTGGTTACTGATCGACAGTGCTAAGCCAGATGAGATGAGTAACGATCTTTTGTTCTGTGTCTGGGTATGGTTACCATAGCACAGCCACTGCCTAATTTGAAACTATTCTATATCCGTAATGAAAATCTATCTGAAACTGTAACAGAATCTCGTTGTGGTGATCGGTAGTCTAAGTGAGACATGTAATTCCAAATTTTCACGATTTCTATGTACCTGTTGTAAGTGAAATGAGTATCTATAAAAATTACTTATAAACAACTGTTCGATAAAATTTCTTATCATAAAGTTCCCTGATAATTATTACCACTACCGACTCACATATGACAAATCTATTTCTATTAATTGTTCATTAAAGCGGTACACAAACCTGACTTTAATGGACTCCGAATTCATGACTAATCAATGAACGCTTTCCAGTCACTTTGACCGAATGTAAGGTATAGCAGTATTCGGCCAAAAATGGCTCCAAAAAGTTTTGTTTGAATACATTAGGAAATTTTCCTAGAATATCTGACTGATTCTCGTTCAGTACTTTTTAGGACACTTCTCGACTATGCTTAAAAATGTGCATCTATTCTCAATATGTTTGTCTGCAGCTAACGAATCTCGAAACGAGCATCTGTGCAGTTTTTACGACGATGAAGATTGCTTGTATGTGTATGTTTATGCATACGATGAAAACCAACATCTGGTCATCAGAGCGCAGAAGGAACGCGAATGTCCAAAGAAGGTATGTACAGCTAATCTTGGGAATAAACTTAAACAAGTATGCTACCAAAATTACAAAATATACACACTTTCTTAGACTCTTTAGGTAATTAATTATAATGGCGAGAAGGCGTTGCCTCAGGTTTCTTATTGAAAAAATTGCTTTTAATATAAGAACGTTATACATATTTAGTAGGCATTTGCCTACCAACACAAACATTTGTGAGACTTTTGTGTTGCTAAAACTATTCCCCACTTCGCCAAGAGTTGTCAACACACCAGTATTAACCGCAGAAGACGACAACACAATAGTAGTGCTATCTTACGAATCTAACGGCAATGTTCTGGGATCAGAAAGGGAAGGTACTGGTAGACGCGGACTGCTCTAATGCGGTAGTACACTGTCAGCAAAATGAGTTACTCTTTCTTTTCTCTAATACATTGAGTGAGTAACTTTGCCGATTTTTTGTGTTTTTAACAAAATAACTACTTGTGTATATATATGTTGTATGCCAACAGGTTTAAGGTATTGTACTACTTTTTTTATATATTTACTTATATGTATCCATTAGTAAGGGATAACACTAAATACTTCTGACTCAACTTAAACTCGTTATTTCATAAAAAAATGTTTGAAATCATCTTTTATATAGACTCAAAAGTCATAGAACATACACAATAGCAACAATCTCTGTTTAGTCAAATAGTAAGCAAAATAAATTAAATAGAAATTAAACTTATACAAAATCTATGATATACTTGTGCCGATCTACAACCACCCGTTTCCAAAGGGTTGAGCCTTATGAGAACAAAGGGCAAACAAATTCATGGCCACTCTTTTGCAATTTACAGATAGATACAAAGGCATCATTAAATATACCACAACATTGTTTTATGATGACTTTTCACTAACCCCTACATTTTAATCTTCCCCATCTTTTTTATTACGACACCCTTACCAATCAGGTTCCAAGATTTCGTACGAAACTTTAATTTCTTATAACCTGATTTGCCAGGGTGTGGTGCCTGATCGATGCATTACAATTTTCTTAACGCTAAATTTTTTCTAAACGTCTTGGTCACTGGCTACTGGCTGCTTAAATTGTTCCCCGTCAAATGCTTCAGCACCACCTACAGATCTTACGCACCTTTGTGGTTGCAGAAAAAAGTCTAGTACTGTTACAGAATATTACTCCAAAACTATGGTTTTATTAAGTAGTTTTTGATGTTGCTTCTGCCATTGTAATAAGCTAGTATTAAGTAATCTTTGTGGAAGAGAAAATAAACTTTATCTTATCTTACCTATTGTTGTTCTCTATTGATCTTACTAAAAATCCTCTTGACTAAGGTATCTTAGAACATACATTTTTCAGATGTCCTCAAAACAATTCGCCCACAACCCATATTTCAATTAACAGCATTGAACTTTCCCCTTCCTTTAAACTTTACCTTTATTCTTATTTAATTTCTCCAATCACTGTTGTACTGCTTTAAATTCTAATGTTATAGTTCATCTAATCTAAGAGGTACCGTTTGACTATTCATAGTTTTCAAGCCGAAACAACTTTGTATTGGTGTAATTCACACAATTTAAATAAAGTTGTACATAAAACCATGGAATTATGAAGCTATTTCTATTTTATCACAAGGTCTACAATTCTAATTGGTAAATTTAAATGTAAATCTTTTAAACAGCAAAAAACCAATATATACAATAGATATATATTTTTTTAAATCTTTGTGTTCATGTAAAAGTTTAAAAAATGATTTTTTTATTAAAAAATAAAATTTATAACTGTATAAGCGTTATTTACAAAATCTCTTAAATATTAACAAGAACTTTTTTTTCTTAGAATAGTTTTATTTAACATCAATGTTAAAACTTATAAAGTTAAGACATCGATGCGCGCCATTACAGGAATATGTAGAATGACAAAGGCTTCAATCAAAATTTGGTTTTGTTTGGAAGCCATTGTTCTTTTGTATCCATGTATTTTGGAGTGCAACAAACGAGTGCATGTTCAATAAATAACGTCCTATGACAAACGTCATAATTTTAGATGTCTGAATGTTCTCTATGTTAATGAGTATCTGTGAGTATCAAATATTTAAAGATAGACAGGTAAAAGACAGTAAAGCAATGTAGTTATTTACAGCTTTTTAATGATGAAAATATCAGGAAGTTTAAGGTATATTATTTTTGTTTCTTGTTTATTTGCATTAGCGCCACCTAAGCTTGGGCATTTTTTCATTACGGACTAAATGATATGCAGATAGGGTTAAAACTTTACTGTAAGAATTTGGTGGTAAACTCCTCTGAGTGTACCACTGAATTCTTACAGTACAGTGTATTCGGTTTATTTGCAATACTAACTTGATATACAATAAAACATTCTATGGGACAGATCGTATCACACATTGATATTGCTTGTTACATAGCTCGAACACTAAGTATTTCCCCGCGACATTCACAATATTGTTTGTATGACATAATAAGATATACTTACTAGGTTACCATTTTAGCTATTTAAGTATGGTGTACATCGCCTAGTTGTCGAAGTTGGATCATTACTTATTAAATTTTCAAATATTTTGTTCTATATCATTGAACTATTTGCAACACATCAAGCTATTTGCTTAAAAAGGGGTACGAAGAATTTTAGTATAAGTCTACAGATTTTGAATTTTTTATAGGTTCCAATTCTGGGTATAGTGCTTGGTGTGATCGCGGCGATCGTGCTAATAGGCCTGGCGTTGCTGATGTTGTGGAAAATGGCCACCACTATCCACGACCGTAGAGAGTTCGCGCGCTTCGAGAAGGAACGCATGATGGCCAAGTGGGACACGGTAAGAATGCTCATAAATTACCTAATAATATATTTTTTTGAACTACGAAGTAGAAGTTTGTAATTACAATTCCGTTTAAAAAAAATTAAGACGAATAAATTAACTTTAAATATAACTTATAACTTTTAACATCTGACTGTTTATTTCACGTTTTTTTTGTAGGGCGAGAACCCCATCTACAAGCAAGCGACGTCGACCTTCAAAAACCCTACATACGCTGGCAAATAATAAATCAGTAAATAAAACAATTATTGTTAATACATTACAAACTGATATAATAATTACTTTTACAGCATTTATAAAATAATCGGGATGACAGTATTTATATAAAATTTCATTATTTATAGAATTTTTATCGATAGAAAAAAAATATTGATGTTGGTTGCCTTAAAAGTGCCTTTCTGTAATTAAGTATATTGTGATGTGAAGAATGTGCACAAAATGCCAAAGGATACACTGTTTGGCTATTTTATTTAATGTGTATTACACAAACCTATGTGTGCGTCGTCGTAGATTATTTCTAATATTTGATACTAATGCGAACAGTCTATTGTATGCCTTTTTTATAATTTGTTTAGGTTTGTTTAATCTCAAATGTATATTGTACGCTTTTTGTACTTATGTGTGTGTGTGTGTGTGTGAGTATGTTGTATGTACTTATAAATGTTTGTGTGTAGCTTATTGATGTCGGACGTGTGACATGACGTGTGTGATGTGTAGTAACATAATCCTCATATATTACGTAATATAGACACGACCATGCTGCGTTCGATAAGTTATAGTTTTGAGCTTTATACTGTTTTATAATAGTGTTATTTTACGAATGAAATTTATTTTAATTAATTGTTTAAATATACAAGTGACTGAGTGCTAGGTCTTGTAATTACCCAAATAATAAATGGTAACTAAATTATTTACATTTGATTTTTTACTGCCTCACGTCGAAATATTTTAAATGTTAAACAAACAAAATGAATAAACGCCCTTTCGATGTTTTGTATGGGTTCTTTATTCTCTTCTGTGATACACCTAGGTACATCGTGTGTATTATTTGTCAGTCAGCCACGAAGAATATTGGATAACATACAAAACTTATGTTAAGGATAACTACAACTGTATTAGTTTTAATACATTCAAATTATATGAGTCACGATTAATTAGTTTAGTCATCGGTTATACAAATAAGATTATTCCCATAAAGCATCCACTGCCATAAATATAATCCAACACTAGGCAGCAAGTGAGAACTATAAAAATAGACACAGCCTCGACATTGAAAACTTGACAAAGGCGTTTAGTCTGCAATATATTTATATGTGATCTCACTTATACTGTTTTTTTTGTGTAAAAATCTAAGAATTTCGAATTTCCTCCACGATACACAGTAACGATTCTAATCGAATCGCACACTTATAGCCGTAAGAATATCGCCTAACAGAGACTTGCAAAGTACAGATTCGGTCCTAGTATAATCTCACTAACTCAACAATGTTACATTACTACCGCTTCCTATATTCCCTCTTGTGCCTTGTTATAATATTAATCATAATTAGTGCCATTACTAAAATTGTATTAAGTAAAAGATAAATATTATTTATTTTAAATATGTATTTTTGTGAACAGGTGGGCTATGATTTAATTCATTTGTGCTTATTTCCTGTGTCCCCAAATTTGTCTAGGAAAATAATAATTATGTTAGGAGTTAACACAGATGTCCATCAATTACAAATGAAGTATTAAATTAGTATTAAAAGTTGTAATATTTACGATCAACCTTATTGTAAAGGAAAGATGCTACTTAGGGACAATTAGACTGGAATATATATTTTTACAACTATTATAAATACGAAAAATTTGGATGAATGTTTGTTATTCAATCACGCTAGAACGGCTAATCGGATCTGTATAAAGTTACAAGCACAGAGATAGATTAAAGTGTGTAATAGCAAATAGACTACTTCTTATCCCGGAAAAATTGTTTGACAAAGTGGACGCGAGCGAAGCATACTTGACGAGCCTCTCAAAATTACATGATGGAAATTACTATACGCGCACCAATGAGTTAAATTGTAGACACGGAATTTTATATAAGTTATAATAAAAAGAATGAGTTTGGGTTTTTAAGTTTTAAATAAGTGACAATATTGCTATTTGTATTAATATCACCGCTAATGTAATTCCGTACCATGGCAACACGACATAAATATCGACGTTTTCTTTGAATCCGTTTGGGGATTGACGAGATATTTATGGTTGACGGATTGTGATTGTAATCAAGATATATTTAATACCTGTTGTTGCCTTTCTGATTTTCTTACCCAATTGTACATATTTCGTTTTTATATACTGGAAATAGTTTATAAACAAACGTGTCTTAAATTAGTTGTAGTTAATAAACATTAACACAAACATTAATTGTTCTTATTTCACTCTAAAATATTCCTTGTTAAGTGCCAATTAGTAGCATTAATTACACCTTCAATATTTTTAAACCACTCCAAATAAACTTTTGGTTTAGGTAGCTTGATGGAATTAGAATTAGAAAGGATTACATCTTTTATTGTAATTTATAGAGATTCGTATATGGGTAACTCTATTATGCAGTATGCAGCTCAGATCTAAGATGTCTCAGGTGCAATGAATTTTACTAACAACTAAATGTTCAAATCCTCTCTATTTTATACAGTACTAGCTGAGACCCGCGGTGTTACCCGCGTTTGTTGTTATAACCGCGGGCAACGCCGCGGGGCGAAGCTAGTCTAAAAAAAGTTGCCTAAGTTACTCCTTATGTCATCAGCTATCTGCCTGTGAAAGTCCCGTTGAAATCGGTCCAGCCGTTCCAGAGATTACCCGGAACAAATAGACAGACAGACAGACAAAAATTATAAAAAATGTTATTTTGGCATATGTACCGTGTAAACATACATATGCATTTAGTAAAAAGCGGTTGTTTTAATATTACAAACAGACACTCCAATTTTATTTATTTGTATAGATTCTTTTCTTACCACATTCACCGTCCTATCTCAAAGAACATTTTGAGTTCTTACACAATTCACATTGCAGGCTCCTGAGATCATCAGAGAATTTGAAGTTGAAAATGCCCAAGCACACCACACAATTTAGTGACAAATCGTTCTCAGTGCAAGCAGTTAGACTGTGGAACAACTTACCCGAGGCAATCCGAACAGCTAAATCGTTGCAATTATTCAAAAAACAAGTCACAAATTACTACTTGACATTGTGCCGGCCGTTGAAGAGATATTGATTGTTTGTTAATACTTGGTACGTCACAGGTTAAAAACGATTTGTGTATAACCTTTGTATGTGATATGTGAATAACCTTTGTATGTGTTTATTATTTATATGGATTTATATGTGTGAGTAGTATGTATATTGTAAGCGTATTTAGTATGTTTACTTTTATATATATTAATTATCTTAAGTGTTATAAAGTACACCATAGACCCTAAATCAGTTTAAACAATATCCGTGTAAAGGTTGTCTGTAAGAGACTGCCGTGAGCGCTAAGCAGTATATTACAATGTACTCTGTGGCGCTAAGACCGCCCATTCTAGTACCAAAATGTAACTGTCCATCCATGTCTGTACAATATATACTGAAGCGGTGTACAATAAAGATGTATAAATAAAAAAAAATATATAATAAAATTCCCTGGAGCTTGCGCCACGTCGTAATGAGCTACTAAGATTTAAGAGTAGTAATAAATATACGGTAGTAATAAATACCCACCTCCTACATTTCTATAATGTATATAAAAATGACAAGTTGGTTTGTGTACGGTTCGAAAACTCAACTCAAACTCGCTTTAAAGATTGTTTTTATCTACTTTTCGCGTCTTTTTCTTGTCCCTTATTTCACATTAATGCAACCATAATGCGCTGCAGCGAAGCGTGATAGGATACCTACAGCTAAAATACTCATAAGTATTATAATAGCGAAATAGTTTCCCTCGTTGAAACTTTATTACTCCCATTGGGAGACTTCCAGATAAAATACCTTTCATTAGCTTTGACGCGTTGTTTTAGAGCATGAGGGATAAATTGAATTATTCCGGGTATATTTTATTCGAATTATATGTGTGAGTAGTTGCCGTGTAAAGGTCCTGTCCGTGTGGTGACGGATTAAGAATACGGAATGTCACCACCCCTATTCAACCCGTGGGTGTCGTAAGAGGACGCAGGACAACAGCACTGCAAAGAGAAGGAAAACTTGAAACAAACCCTATACCAAACCGTCTGGCCAGCGTGGTATAGTAGGCCAAAACCTCCTTTCTAAGGAGAGGCCTATGTCCAGCAGTGGACTGTTATAGGCTGTTGATGTTGATGATGATGATGATTTTATTCGAACAAAATAAGTACCTAATGAGCAAAGAAAAGTAGATTGTTCTCGTTGCAAAGTACAATTTCTCGTGTCTGCTTCTATTGAAAATTATTTAGACAGGCTTACAGATTCCTTACGTAGGTACAGAAATAAGTTTTTTTAATCATTATTGTCAATCTTAATCTGAACAAAGTATATTTTTATAAGTTTTATAAGTTATAGTCAATTCTCGTAAAAAAAAAATCGTTCAAAATTCAGTTTCGATCCACTCTCGATCTCACAAATGTCTTAAAGGGTATTTTCGTAGTAAAGTGTTAAATATCCAAAGTTGACTGTAAATGTAGTTATATCGTATTGTGACCGAAAGTGGAACCGGTATTCTGTTAGTCTTATTGCCTAATACTTTATAATACTACGACGATTAGTGATTGTACTGACCGTTAATACAATCACTAAACTCACTAGATTAAGAAACTGTGAAGTTTGTTAATACCTATACAGGGTGTAAGGGACGCCGTAACGAATACTGAAATAGTGTATTCAGACCATCATTCTGACTCGAAAATCATTGGATTTCTTGCCGGTTTTTTTAAAAATGAGTTTTTATGTTTTTGGTTAAAAATGATGATAAATTATATCACTATGAGCAAACAGAACATTTTAATATAAACAATTTAACGTATACTGCAGCCGAAGCGCGCGGTGCCTCCCCCCTGGCGGCCAACTTGTGTTATTGTGCGTAGTCTGTTTGCACGAAATACAAATGCAGTGATTACTTTGTACGATGCCTACGGGGAATGACCTTAAACTTTGACAGCTGATTGCATAAAACGTTTAATTTTCCGTCAGATAATTCCAATGATTTCCGATTCAAAATGATGGTC